GTAGTAGTAGTAGCAGCAGGAGCAGGAGCAGGAGCAGGAGCAGGAGCAGCAGCAGCAGCAGTAGCAGTAGCAGTAGCAGTAGCAGTAGCAGTAGCAGTAGCAGTAGCAGCACCCAAGCGCCCTCCGCCACCAGCACCGAAGGAGGCCACCACTGGAGGCACCGCGCCAAAAGGGCCGAAGCCGGCCGCCCCTAAGCCAGCAGTGCCACCCTTCTCGGATTTCATGAGCTGGCATTGTAATAGTTGTGGCGAGCCCAATGCTATGCGTCGCGAGAAGTGCAATGTTTGCTGCTATCCGCAGGACGCCAACGACAACTTCTTCGAGACCGCCACACACTGGGTTTGCCCGGTCTGTGCCGAGGAGAACTCGGTGCAGTAGCAGTAGCAGTAGCAGTAGCAGTAGCAGTAGCAGTAGCAGTAGCATTAGCAGTAGCAGTAGCAGTAGCAGTAGCAGTAGTCGTCTGACCCCAGCCTTACAAGAGAACAATTCGATGTCCCAGGGAATGCCAGAAGGAGCTTCCCTGAGTCTCTCTCAAGCTGTATACACCTTCCCCGAACCTAACATGGAACTCGGCGCAGCCCCCACTTTCAAAGCACAGTAGTCTTTTCATAGATTATAGAGCAGAGCGCGTTTTGGCCGGGTTCCATGCCAAGGTAGGGAAGGGTAACACACAGGGTCTCCAACCCCTTGATCTGGACCAGGACACGCAGATTCGACATCTGAGCAAAAGGTTTGCTAACAGTCCTTCTCACCCTAAACCCTAAACCCACCAGAAGGCCCCAGGAGGCTGCCCTTTTCGGGAAGCTTAGATGGCGGCGGAGAAGATCTCGCGCTCTGCATCCACCACACACTCCTGTTTCTCCGGTGAGAACCCGCTGGACACCTTAGTGCTGGCAGATTCATCGTCATGTTCTTCCGTCTCAGCTTTTCTTTCATCCTCCTTCACGGTGGAGGCGACCATCTTGCTCACCTCCTCGGGCGAGTATGTGTTTGTCCTGAGAAAGCTAAGTCGCTTGGACTTCTCGGCCACGTGCCGAGTTTTGCTGAGCCCAGTCAAATCTACTGTGATGGTGTTCGTGCCCATCGTCATGATGTCTTCAAAGGACTCATTGAAGCGGAAGTCTGTAGGGTAGTAGCATTTGTTGGCAAAGACTTTTTGCATGTAAGTCTGGTCTGTGCCCTCAATCTGCACCACGAAAGCTAGGAACTTGTCCTGATAGTTATCCTCATCCAGGCCATGCAATGGGCTCCTCTCATCCAAGGGGTGCAAGAGGTTCCAGACCTCAGTGCAGGCAGTCTGCTCTTGTCTGCGCATGGTCATATTGTAAGAAACTGTGCGCTGCCATGTCTCCGGATGGTACGCATTGGGATTATATTAGGGCTATATTGGGTATGTTGGGTTGTATAGGCGTAATGGAAAAGAAAATGGTGATTATATGAGGGTTATATATTTAAATAAATTGTAAGGTCGTAACTTAAGGCGCTGCTCGGAACATCATATTTGTGCTGCGCTCCAGCTCGCAAGGGGCGAGAATCCGCATCCCAGCCTTGGGGAACCCTAAGCCCTAGACCCT